CTAGACCCGAAACGTCAGCTTTCCTGCTCGGCCTGCTGTGTTCATCCAGCTCTACACCTTGTTAACTCTAGACAGTTACCTTGACTACACTTCCTGACACTGTGCTTTGTACAAGGACTGCATTCCATTCTCCCAGTTTCTCCATCTCAAGCACTGACATGGTTGCCTTTGAAATGTTTTTTTCTTCAACCACAATACCAAACATCTTTCCCTTCCCCACCACTGATTCCCTGAGACACCCTGATCTACTTCTCTACTTCACTTCCGACATCTCCTCACCTCTATGGCATATTTCCATACAATTACAGATTACATATCACTTGACCTCCTCACTGTTCACAGCTCTAAATACACATTCCAGGTGAAGCAGTAGTTTGCTTGTACCACTTTCCATGTAATCTATTGCTTGCTGCTCACATTGGTGAGACCAAATGCAAACAGACAAAATGGTTTGTAGAATACCTTCACTCTGTAAGAATGACTTACCTTCCAGTTGCTTGCCATTTCAACAACCATCTTGCTGTCATATGACCATTTGTGTCCTAGGCTAGCTGTGTTCCAAAGCTTAGCACAAGCTGGAGGAACAGCATCTCAATTTCCACTCCAAAAAGCAACAGCCTTTAAAATCCAACATTGAGTTCAATCCCTCCAGAGCATGCCAGCTTTCCTCTGTTTTGAGGACAGCACACCTCCCAAACTCTGCACTTTGCATCTTGTCTACCTTGCTCTCAACAGAGCAGACACATTTTCTTCTTTGCACACCTCTTTCACGTCTCAATCTCTTCTTTGCCACCGTTAATACACCCTGTTGCCTTTTGTTCTGGCACCCTCACTCCAACTTCCCATTTGTCTGCAGCATGGTACCCACTGTTTCCAATGCTCTTCGGTTATAATGGACCGGAGGCGTTTATAAAACTCTATTTCTCGTTCCACGGATGGTGCCAGACTTGCTGTGTTTTGCCAGCATTTTCTCATTTTGTTTCACGTTTCCAGTGGCCATACCGTTTTGCTTTTACAAGCATTTCTTCTTTACCCACCACTCCACTTAACCGCAGCCACAACGCTTTTTTATCCTTGCAGATTGTAGGAAGTGTTAGAAACGCTCAAGCCACACGGCATGTGCAAGATCACCCTCATCATCAGTCGGCACTCTCATTAGCTAACAGTCTCCTACCTGCCGTCTTGAGTATTTGCGGAGCTCCCCTGGCCCACCCCAACATGGACAGCCTCGGAACCAGGGCAGGTAGGAACTCCCGGGCGCACTGAGTGCAGGCGCAGGGCCCTCCAACTGCGCTGCTACTATTCCCAAGCGCAGTTACCTTTTTGTGATAAGCAGCGACAAGCGATGCCCGAGCCTTCAGCACAAGCCGCGAGAGAGAACCAGGAATCATAACCGCCGCCATCACCACCAATAGCCGAGTGCGACACGGCCTCCTACTTCACCACCCGACGTCACCAGCACGGATGCCGCGCCCCTGTGCTGTTACGTAAGACTGACCACGCCCCCCGCGTGGTTATGTCATGCACTAACCACGCCCTCCCCACGGGACGCATTGACGAGTGAACATTCGCGTCACAAACAAACACGCCCCTATGTTATTATGTCTACCACGCCCCTTACGTCGCCATGTGGCTGACTGGCCACGCCCCTTGCGTGGTTGCGTTACCAACGGAAAACTGCTCAGGAAGGTAAACAAAACGTCGACGCTCTCTGTCTGAGCTGACTACATTCTGCTTCGACGAGCAGTGCATCGCGCCCTTACCAATATGGTGACAATTCACACCCCGCTTTCGTCATATTCAATCGTCAGTTTCATTAAAGCCCACAAGTCGCGTTGTTATGATGTAAATATTACATCCAATTGTCCCATATTCTCCCGAAAATTTCTGTTTAAAACAGCTCCCGCTGTAATGCGTGGAATTGTACTTCAAACTGAAGCTTCGATTAAAATAAGGAATCGTTCTATAAGAAGTAGTTGTGTTTCTCGGGATGTGAAGTGTTCTATTTGATCGGGCGTCTCGGCCTTTCCCGCACTGCTGCGCATGATGGCGACTATCGGGAGGCGACGGTCGAGTGAGGCTGAGGAGTTGGAGGTTGGAAGCGGGGGTGACTCGGAGGAAGAAATGGAAGACTCTTCGGAGGATGAGCAAGAAAACGAGGCGGAAATCCAGCGGTTGGAAGAGCAGGTGCGACGTGATGTCGGGCGGGAGTGAGCCCGCGGGATTTAAAACTTCAGCACGGGCTCCCCCTCCCCCCAAAGCTCCCAGCCCCCTCCCCCTCACCCTCCCCCCAAAGCTCCCAGCCCCCTCCCCCTCGCCCTCATTCCTACCCCTACCACTCATTCTCGAGCCCCCCTGCCTCCCCACTCACCCCGAAGTTCCCTCTCCCTGGCCTCCCCCCTCGTGTTAACTCCTGTCCGCCTGGAGTGTTCACTATGAGGAAAGAAGCAAAGCAAAACATTTCGGTGATTGATGAAGTGAAACAAACATCTGAAACTCACGTGAAAAATCACTTGAAAACCACGTAGTCAGGACTAATCCTTCAAAGAGCCAAAAGAAAGGCAAAATGCCTGAGGTCATCTACGGAGAGAAAATGTAGTTTTCTGGGGCATAATACTCAGGTTCACGCTGATTTGAATGAATGGCCCATTTTCTACCTATGTACTATGATAAAGTCATGACCAATAAAATCCAAATGATTTGAAGCATGTGCCTTGACTCACAATAAATCTCACTGGCAGCCAGTGACTAGTAAGTTACCACAGGGATCAGTGCTTGGATCCAGCTATGGAGTATAATGTGGATAAATATGTGATTATCCACTTTGGTAGCAAAAACAGGAAGGCAGATTATTATCTGAGTGGTAACTGGGAAAGGAGGAGGTCCAATGAGACATGGGTGACCTTGTACACTGGTCAGTGAAAGTAAGCATGCAGGTGTAGCAGTGAAGAAAGCAGATGGCCGCCTTAGTGAGAGGATCCAAGTGCAGGAACAAGGATGTCTCGTTGAAATTGTACTGGGCCTTGCTGAGAGCGAAGCTAGAGGATTGTGTGCAGTTTTTATCTCGTTATCTGAGGGATAATGTTCTGGCTTTGGAGACAGTGCAACAAAGGTTTACAAGGCTGACCCCTGGGACAGCAAGACTGATGTACGAAGAAGATTGGCTTTGTTAGGACAACCTTCATTGGAGTTTACAAGTATGAGGTTGGAATCTTGTAGAAACCTATAAAATTATGACAGGACTAGACAGGCTTTATGCAGGAAGGATGTTCCTAATAAAAGGAATCCAGAACTAGAGGCCATGATTTAGGAATATGGGTAGGCCATTAGGGACTGAGATAAGAAATGTCTTCATGCAGACTGGTGAGCCTGTGGAATTATCTGTTACAGAAAGCTGTTAAAGCTAAGACATTGAATGTTTTCAAAATGGAGTTAGATATAATTCTAGGGGCTAAAGAATCATAGGGTTTGGAGAGAAAGTGGGAACAGAATACTGAGTAGGATGATCAGCGTTGATTATATTGAAAAGCAGACCAGGCTTGAAGGACTGAATGGCCTAATTATACTCCTATTTTTCTAAATTTCTCAAGACTCTGTGATCATCACTAAACTTTAAATAGTCTTGATCTGGACTAAAGTCACATCTCAGAAATTTGGGACACTGTGTGGTTCCTCAAGAATCTGCTGCTTATCTTTTCCAATGCTGTTGTGAAAAATTTGAGTGCCAATTGTGATGGGCCAGTTTATTGAGTGTGATATTTAAGTCAACTCTCTTGCTAGCAAATTACAGAAGTAAGCTGTTTATGACCCTCACCAGTGCAATGAGATCATCATACTCAGACATAGTGAAAGTGTAAGATAAACTGTCAGGATTCACCATCAACATCTCAAGTGAGGACATCTATTTGAAAATTGTTGGATATCAGGGATATCTAAGAAGTGTTTAGCTCTGGAAGCTTTATTGTGTGCCAGCTATATCTTTATGTAAACAACTTTCACAGCAGTTTCCATATGTAAACTGAGACTCTGCAGAATAGTAATGCAATTCTTTATGTTGTATACCATTTATGGCAGTGGAAGTACTTTATTCCACTTGGGCTACCATGTTAAATTATGGCAATTACCACAATTCTGTGGACTGAAATACTTTATGCACGATGAAATACTGAAATCAGATTCATTATAAATAAAATTATTCAATAGGAAGAAGAAAGACACAGACGAGTCAATCTTACCTCCGATTTGATCCCATGTTTACAGAGACTTGCTGCCCTCAAAGCAATAAGGCTGCACTTTTACAGAAGAATATATTGTGGTTTTCATGGTAGAGCAGTCCTCTATGCAACAATGTAAAATAGTGTATCATTTGACACTAAGTGATGGTGAAAGGTTATTTTTAAACCCTCTATTCATCTGTTTAAAACAGTTTACTTCTGCTCTTCATATGGCTTTATGCTTGTTATGTCATTGGCTAGGAAGCTTGGTGTTTTTACTTTGTGGCATTAACACAGTTGTCAAGATTTGCCGTAGACTAAATAGGCACCCATTTTTATCTGATGTGTATGACAAGTTAAAAATTGAGAAGCAGACTTATTGATAACTAATTGGCTATTAGAAAGTTAAATAAAATGACATGTATTATAATATTAATCTTTAAGCAGTTCTGGTAACACTGGCATGAGGACAGCAGTAACCTGTGCCATTTATTTTAGCTTTCCATAAGTGCCTACGATTACAACTGTCATGTCGATCTAATAAAATTGCTGCGTCAGGAGGGGGAGCTGGAGAAGTTACGAGCTGCTCGACAGAAGATGAGTGAACTGTTCCCTCTTACAGAAGGTAAGACTATCCTTGTTAGACAGTTGCAACACCAGCTGAAACCTGATTTGTAAAGCAGATCAGACTTCGTAATATGTTTATAACCAGCATCCCGATAAAAGTTTGAATGAATCCACTTTCACAAGATTTTGGTTGTTTTTTTTAAAATTCCTCCTGTTTCTTGGAAACTGATCATGTGAACATTCTGTTATTGACATGGCAACCGCAAAGCCACAGCTCATGTAATCCTGACTAATTCTGTTCGTGAAGGTTCTGTTCACAGTTATATTGGGGAAACAAATCCAATTCTGTTTTGCAGAGCTTTGGCTGGACTGGCTAAAGGATGAGATTCTAATGGCAGAGGGAACAACTGACAGGGAGAAAGTTTATGAACTGTTTGAGAAAGCCATCAAAGATTATATTTGTAAGTTCTTTTTTACACCTTAGCGTTTGTCTGACTCCTAACATTGAGTAATCACAGCTTTCTTTGGTGAATACAAACATCCCCCACTGTTGTGCTTCAGGTAGATCGTACCTGTTGGCTGGGCAGAGTGTTAATCTTCCTAGCTCCCCCAGTGAATTGAATTGGGAAGGAGGAAAGAGACTTTGTTGTTTATTAATTTATGAACGTGTCAAAAGACATAAAATATATGTAATTTCAAATAGTGCTATCTTGAAAGTTAGTTCTCCTCATTTGCACACACCCTCAGCTTTAAATCAAGGCTGATGACTAGGAAATTTAAAAACCCAAGCAGACAAAAGTCAAGTAATTAATTTAACTGTAAGTGATGATGTAGCACCACAGCATGATGAAGCTCCCCATATTTGAAACAATTGAAAACAGTGATGGTCATGTTCCCTGTTGTTCATTCAGGCATTTAAGCTGGCGCAACTCCAGAAGCTTCAGATACTGGTAATATCCAGGTAGTTGGCACTCAGCTGTTGAAGCTGCAAAGATAGTTTCATGAATTGATTCCTAAAGATTTTATATTATAAGAAAACACACCCTACTGGATAGAAAGCAGAATTTCGATCAGCTCCACAATGCAGTGGACTTTGTTAACTCCGTTGTGGAACCACCAGGACATAAAAATGAATGGCCACTTAGACCTTGAAAATAATATCATGGGTTAAAAGTACTTAAGTTGGTTGATGGTTACCCTCCGGTGTATTTTAGTGAGGGTGTTAATTTGTTTAGAATAATTAGGTTAACATTTCTTCTAAAAGTAGAAGTAAGTGAACAAGCATTTATGGTCTGTTATCCCACAACATAATTTTTGAGTCTAATAGACTATGACATACAGATTGTTCCATAGCAGAGTCTAGTCCATCAGGAATAAGAGTTCCACAATGTGGAGCTGGAGGAACACAGCAGGCCAGACAGCATTGGAGGAGCAGGAAAGTTGACGTATTGGGTCAGGACCCTTCTTCAGAAAATTTTCTGCTGTGTACCTTCAGCTCCACACTGTGTTAGCTCTGACTTCAGCATCTGCAGTTCTTGCTATCTCCACGTCCATCGGGAATGTGTTTTACTACTGTTGTGAAATTAAGTGATGTCTGATGCTGACGGCGACTCTTTCCCTCTCTCTCTCTGTCTCTCGCGCGCGCGTGCACTCACTCACTTGCAGGAAACTAGGTTTGCTATGTGTGCAACACTTTAA